CTTGACAATGTGCCCGGCGCCATTGTGTTGGAGACATTGTTGCTCGTCACCGGAATGGGATGCCTGATTGCGTGCCACACTTGGCAGTCACGCCTCTGCTGGGCTTTTGCTCGTGACCGTGGTATCCCTGGACACAAGTGGCTCGCTCAGGTCAACCACACTCTCGATGTGCCTCTGAACGCGCACAACGCCAGCAGCTTCATCGTTGCTGTTCTCGGACTGCTCTATCTCGGCTCCTCTACCGCTTTCAACAGCATGGTGACCGCCTGTATCACCCTGCTATACATCTCGTACTCCTGCCCCATCGTATGCCTCTGGTACCGCGGTCGTGATAACATCAACCACGGACCCTTCTGGCTTGGAAAATGGGGTGCCTTCGCCAACATTGTCACCGTCCTATGGACCATCTTCTGTCTTGTCATGTACTCCTTCCCATCAACCATGCCGGTGAACACAGGCAGTAAGTCTTTCTTACCCCTAACAAACCTGATTGGACATTTCCGCTGACTTTTCTCACAGACATGAACTATGTCTCGGCTGTATATGGTGTTGTGATTTTCATTGTTCTTTGCGATTGGTTCGCTCGCGGTAGACGCGTATATAAAGGGAGTGTCAGCGCTCTCGAGGGCCATGGCGCGTCCGAGGACTCGGAGTAAAAATGGATATTGATTATCCCACACTTCGCTTCTTTCACTCCTCCATTCTGCACGTATATATTATTTTTGTGATTTGCAAGCGTTTTCATGATTTGTCCACGGCGAAGTGAGGGCGTTTTGACAATGCCAGCGAGAGGATCGTTGATTGAGAACAGAGAAATTCTATGTGGAGTCGGGAGTTGTACATCAGACGACGATACCCTGAAGACATAGGAGCTGATGACCTTTACAAACAAAAAAATTCAAAAAAGTTCAATAACCATATTGTTTGAGTTGTAATCCGAGACTTGACATTTTGTAAAGGAAGATGAAGTTCATAGATTGAAGCAAGTGAACGCAGGTGAGATCTGACTGCCATGTGACTGTTGGCTATGCCGCATCTGGCCGAGTGAGTTTGTATCCGTTGGATCCATGGAAGGCTTGAGAATTGTTGCTTTTTATGTTGTATGGAATTTGTTCAATAACATCACGGGTAAGTCATACGATCGGGATGGATGGAATTACTACAGAGTATACTCAAGCACATTGACCATGGCAGCTAATTGCATGATATCAATGTGACATTTTCCATGTTTTGTACCTGATACCGGTATAACAGACTATATGAATGCAGTGGTGTCTTTTGCTGATGCAAAATGCACAAAGTGCGCCATATGTGGGCAATATTCGGTAGTTCTATTAATACCAATAACTTGTGTCAATGGCTACCTTGATCCAGGCTTTCAATCTAGGTTTTGCTTGCTACGTACTCCTTGTCTCAGAGACGCGAAAGTCAAATCATTAAAATAAAATAACAACACAGACAAAAATAAAAAGAGAGAGAAAAAAGCCTCTTCTTGCTGTGGGTCTTGTGTGTGTTTAAGTTGACGGGACTCCGTCTGTGATCCACCAGTTAAATTCGGTGTTGCGTGCACCCGAAATTTTCCCACCCAAACGTTTTCAGGATTTGAAGCCGCTCGCCGAATCGTGTGCTGCTGTACGTAATAGAATACTGGGTAGCCGTTGATCGGAGTCTTGTTTCTCCAAATTAAACCCTCAATGCGTTGGGGTAGAGGCGGCCGCGAAGTCTATGAATGTTATCTCTCCGCAGCATCTTATTAGAATCTTATAAAAGCACTCGTTTCAATTCGCAAGGTCACTGACTGCCCCACGTTCGGAGGCTTATCTGTTTGCTGATTCAGCTTGCTATCAGAGTCAACTGGGTTGCATCGCACAGCTTCAACGATACGTATTGAAGAGCACAGAAGAGGCCACGATTTTATCGCTGTTGTTTTGCTACGCCAGCCAGTTCTCGACCTGCGCGTTATTCTGCGCATCATTGTAGGGTGGTCAAGGGTCCGGCGAGTTTGAAGCTTCTCGTTCTCATCATGGCAATCATGGACGGTGTCATCCATGAGATGACTGAACAACAATTAGAACCTCAACTCCCTGAAGCGAGGGTCCTTATCATTATGACCGGAGGTACCATCTGTATGCGACCGTCACCATCAGGGTTTATACCAGCGCGAGGGTTTCAAGAGCAATGCCTGGCCCCGGTGCCTACTTTCAATGATGGCTCTCCTTCGACCATGATGGATGTTGTTGTCGATAACACAGGCCAGATCAAGGGCCATCAGAGTCTACGGACACCCCAGACTGCGTACGGCCGCCGAGTAAGATATACGGTGTTTGAATTTGAGGAGCTACTGGACAGCAGCTCTATCGATGCCAAAGGCTGGGCAGAAATTGCGCGAACCGTCGAGAGAAACTACACCCTATTTGACGCATTCGTTATCCTTCACGGTACAGATAGTTTGGCGTATACTAGCTCCGCACTCAGCTTCATGCTGCAAAACCTGGGAAAAACCGTAATTCTTACGGGATCCCAGGCTCCAATGCTGGAGCTTCAGAATGATGCGACAGACAACCTTCTTGGGTCTCTGGTTGTGGCTGGCCACTTCATGATCCCAGAAGTGTGTCTGTACTTCAACAACCGACTATTCCGTGGTAACCGGTCGAGCAAGGTGGCGGCCAGTGACTTCGGTGCATTCGATTCGCCGAACTGCACACCGTTGGCTGTAACCACTTCTATGCGCACTAACGTCAACTGGGAGCTGGTGAATCGGCCAAGGGGCATCGAGCATTTCAGCATCCAGACAGACCTAGATACCGCCCATGTCGCTTGTCTTCGTATATTCCCGGGCATCAAGCCCCAAATGGTTGACGCAGTGTTGAGACTAGAAGGACTCCGTGGTTTAGTGTTAGAGACCTTTGGAGCTGGCAACGCACCAGACGGTCAAGATAACGCTTTGATTAAAGTGCTTGCAGACGCCATCAAACGAGGGATTGTGATTGTTAACGTTACCCAGTGTAAGATGCCTACGACCTCCAACCTCATGCGATGGGACCGTTCAACTCTGACTCTGAGCAGGTTTGACTGGCAGCGTTAGCCCGGTATATGCCACCGGCATGAGCTTGTCTCGGGCTGGTGTTGTCGCCGGTCTCGACTTGACTACGGAAGCCGCGCTGACAAAACTGGCATATCTCCTTGGTCTGCCCAACGCAACCCCGGAGTCCGTGGCACGGGACATGTCGAAATCACTCCGAGGAGAACTGACGGAGGTTTCGCAACCCGTCTTCCGTCATCCAGACGGCGCTCTCACCGAGCGTGTCCAGACACTGACCATCCTGGGCTATGCCATCGCCCAGGGCGATCTCGCACGAGTCGAAGAGATCCTGAAACTCGAAAACCACTACCTTTTGAACGATGCCGATTACTCTGGCAATACTCCGATCGTAAGATACCCTCCCTCCATCCATTGCCGCTACCCGCCCGTTAACAAAGACCCTTAGCATCTGGCCGCGACATCGCCATCCCTCTCCATCCTGCGCTTTCTGCTGATGCAGGGTGGCTCTGTCCACATTCGGAATCGCAACAACCGCACCCCACTGTTCCTGGCGGCCAACGCAGGCTTATCGGAGCATGTTATGTTGCTGCGCAAGTCGGGCGCACATTTGCACTCGGATGAACGGACGGCGGCGCAATTACTCGCGCGACGCAGACCGGGAGTCTGGGGATTGGCGGGGATTGGACCGCGGGAGGTCAGTGACCACGAAATGGAAGAAGTAGGAGAGGAGCGACTGGCCGAGCGAGTGATGGCCGGATCGGCACCGTAATTAATCAAGGATATGATCACGAGACGACATGCTTGATTCAGCTCGATAGATTAAAAATAAAAAAAACAACCACAACAAAAAATAAGCGCAAAGCCTGATTGAAGCCCGAGGAATTAATTTTGTCTAGATCCCACGAAAATTCACAGGAAGTGTAGAAATAAGCACTAGTCTGAGACAAGAAACCGATCCAAACAAAGACGACCACGCCAATTCAGATCATATCATATACAACGCCTGTTGTTCAACAAATTCCACTGAGATCAGGTGAGGTGATCCTTTGGTGTCACGCCCGTGGAGAAGAGAAAAGAGCCAAAGCGCAAAGGCCGACCTGCAAGCAAAGCACGCACCAGGTTGATCCAAGGCGATAAATTGCGGGGTGAGAACGGCCCTCTCCGATTCGAAGCCATGAGAGACGTTACCCGACAAGGCAGGTCATACATACTACGGAGGAGAAGCCGAGTATACTCTGTACTAGTCTTAAATATGCTGAGGAGAGTGCTTATCGATCCAACCATATCAATTGTTCTTTCACGGGCAACAAAGTGGTCATGTGCTCGTGTCCGAGCGGTAAATTACTGGGCAAAGCTTCGACCGTCTGTCGGTTGAGAGGGACCCAGAAGGTACGATGACGGCGGGTGTAGTAGCTTCTTGGCGGGATAATACCAACAAAGGCCAGCACAGACCGAGTCGGGAGCGGTGGCCGACTGGCACCGTTAAAGGAACGTGGGCGTGATGGACGACGAGAGAGGGCCAATACTTGGTTCCAGAAGGGGCTCCACTGTGAATATCTTGTATAGACCCAGTGTATTTCAGCTGTCCCGTTTATTCTCGGGTAGACAGGGAATAAGGATATATTCAATTGACAAGATTACATCAGGAATGAGAATCGGAGATGTGATTGTGAATCTCGAACAGTCGGCACTCTCTAACGTGCTCACTAACTCGTTCTATACTGGATCGAGCATGTAACCGGAGACGCCTCCCGGGTTACCTTTCCCCCCGCCCTAAAGCGAGCAGGGAAGGACAGCGCTGGTGGTTTTTAGTGAGGTACAGTTGAGCAAACATTCGCTGAGTTGACGAACGTTTGAGTGGGCATCGTATACACTTCTCAATACATATGTACATACAATGTACGCTTCGACTACATATCAATCGATCCAGATAATTAAGAACAGATATTATTGCGTCAGTCAATCCAGGATCAAGCAATCAACTACCGAAGGTGAACACCGTATATCAAAGGCCGTGATCACTAGATCGCCCCGGCGACGTGTTAAAGCATCCGATACAATTCAGCCTGCATCCCGAGTTACGTAAAGGAAAGACGGTCAATGGCTGCGCGACGGGCGGAATTATGGAGTTATGGATGTTTCTGGCGACTTCGTCTGTGCAGTCTTAGTTGTCCGGTGATCAAACCCGGTCGAGACCTTGGGAGGTTCTATTCCTAGTTCCTTGGAAATGCCACCGGTTCCTATCAAAGTAAGGGTCACGGGTGTTGAGATACGACCAGGTAAGACTTATACAGACGAACCGTAGAAAAGTAAAAAGAAAAATCAAATAAATAAATCAATAAAACAATGATATGAAATAGGGAAAAAAAAAACTCACAACAAAAAAGAGAAAATTAAACTGGATAAAATATCCTCGTTGAGTATTTGTGTGGGCAAAAACCCGTTGTTTCCATGACTGTTTCTCATTACTCGATATAAACCACAGTGGGTGATTCAACCTCCTCGGACTCCAAATCGGACGGAGTCTTTTTTTTGAATTTTTTATTTTTATTTTTTTTTTTGAATTTTTCCTTACTAGTCTGCCTCCCTATTATTTTCTTACCAACAACCCCAGACGATCCTAATCCAGACCAGTCAGTTAGTGGTTTAGTTGGGGACCTCACAGGACTGCTCGTCCATTGGGATGTCTCCATTCGTCCATATGACATACTTGCCCTTGCCTACTTATACCTTTACATCCTTCGGACTTGAGCTTGATCGAGAATAATAAGAGAAGACAACCTCCTCCCAAGGCTCATGGTCAATTGTACCATCGATTAAGCCATCTCTTTTGCGATACCTGCGTTCCTATCCTCCTGAAGGGGTATACTTTATTGTGGGCGCGAGTCTCGGAACCGTTCCTTGGATCGATCCACCTTCACTGCCTGTCGTTCTGAATTTTTTTTTTTTGTTCAATCAGACCCGCGCACTGATTCAGATCTTCTGCGATCACCTCGTTGTCTCCTTCTGATTGCGAACCCCCTGATAATTGTTTTAGTCACTGGCGGGGAAGTCCACCGGAAGCATTGCCAGTGGAAGGAGAGGATACCGAAGCCTTATCCATCTGGTCTGGGGCCATTAACTAAGAGAAAAGACCTTGCGAGCCAACAGTTAATTGGAACCCCCCAAAAAAAAAGAAAAAGAAAAAGAAAAAAGGCACCACATTTACCCCCCTGTGGATTGCGGCATCTCAAAGCAACGACCATCAGCTTCTATCAAACAACCTCCAACTCAACGATCCACTATCACCATCAAAAGGAA